CAATCCCTACTGCTGAACCACACGCTTGGGATTTCCTTATTTTATAATTTAGCTTTCACATACCACCCATTTCCATAATCTTAGTTTATATACATGTTTTACAATTTGAACTATTTTCTATGGTTGAAAAAGTGCAGGGAATTATTAGTATTGTATTTATGCTCTTAGCTTCAATCCATTGTGACATAGTATAAATATAAAAATAATATCATTTACTAATTGACTGCACAAGGACATAAGTGATTAATTATTTCTATCTAAAAAATTCTATATATAATATTAATCATCAAAAATTAAGTTTAAGAAACTTAAATAATTCTAGATGTATCAATAAAGAATATGTCTTTATAGTTTTAATAGTATATTTCTCTGTCATATATCGGAATCATAAAAAAACAATTATGTATCTTTTATAAAACTACTTTTCTGTTGGCATAAATTAAAATGAAGACAACTTAAAGAGTTGTTTTCAATAAAGATACTGAAAAGAATAAATAATAGTGAAAAGAAAATCTCTTAATGAACAAAAAAGAAAAAAGTTATATACATTAAAGATTTATTATTTTTTGCCTGAATAATTTTTAATTTTATTTATAATTTAACCTAAGTTAAATAGAATTAACATTAAGAGAGATATTTATTTTTTAAAAATTAGAGGAATAATTTGTCTCATTTAGGCAAACTTACTTTAAAAGAAGTAAATGCAATCTCCCTAATTTTTTAATATGCATGAAGCTAGAGATGGTAACTCTAACCTCAATTTTATATGTAATAATAATTTTCTTTTCATATACTTAAGGAGTGAGATTATTTGTCAATTTATGTTTTGTGCCATAATGATAAATTATATTACCTCTTTTTTCTTATACATAATAAACTATATTACCCACCATTTATTCGAAGGATTTATATCAGTTTGATACAGCGTTGAAGTAGAATTAGATAAAAACTAATATTATTAAAATGTTTATTTTTATTAACAAACAAAAACAATGATAAAGCAAACAGAACCTTAGTGTGTCTCAAAAAATTGACACTGCAATGAAATTATACACGCATAACTAGTGAGTTATCTCTATGCTAATGACTATTTTTAAAATAATAAAAAAACATAGCACTAGTATCGATTTTATCTTAACAAAAAAATGAGTGTAAGTGTTTGGAATGTATCATTTACGATCACGTTAAATTATCAACTAACATGATTTAAATATATGTTCATATGCTTAATCTTATGGTGAAATTTGATTTTAGATCCAAATTAATTTTATGTTGAAATAATATTAGACAGATTTTACGTTGAATAAAAAAAAATTATTGACTTATATTTAGCATAAACACATTCAAACATAAATCATGTAATTTTACAATCAATTTTAATAAAAAACAATTTCTTTCAATATCATTACAAACGCTCTCCCTAACATACTATAATCGTCTAACAATCGAGAAAAGTTCACTTGGAAGTGTACGAAAACTTTGATCATAACTTTTTAAAATATTTAACGAGAAGATAGACTGTACAGGAGGTGAAAGATAATTTGTCGTATTTACATCATTAATTTTCGATTGGTTGCAAGTATAAACTAAAAACATCCAAACATGAATCACACATTACTTCAAAATCAATGTTTGGAGTAATAGATGGATGGAACTTATGAGTAGCCTAAGGTTATCTTGTATCCACTTGGAGCAATGTCTCTATTGAAGTGTTGCATAGGATCTGATCTCACCCTACATGGTTAAAACTAGGTGGTGCACTAATGTACCCAAAATTGATAGGTTCATTGTAGATTGTAGAAACTAGAAAGTAGAAACCCTCCAAGTTTGTTTGTGTAACGATTCCAGTACAATTTCTACGTGTGTTTAGAAATCCGTTCAAAACTAGTTAAACGGACTTTTTTCACTTTCCGATGAAAAAAGCTCAAGCAAATAATGTGTTGCTTTTGGGTTACTTTGAACTGAAAAACAAACATACCTACAAGATGCAGCGAGAATGATATATAAATTTACCTCAGAAAATTCAATAACATCCATGGGGCTATTCTAAGTTGAGCAAAATAAAATTAAGAATACAACACATATGAACATCATATGGAACGAAAGACACATATCCCAATAAACTATGAAGACACAGGTATTGAGTTTGATACCTGTGTTAAGAGGCATAGGTTGGCCTAATAACCCCCCATCATCTTAACCTGCTATGCTTCATCCTCAAGTTACACAGGAATTCAAGAGGGCACATTAAAGTGAAAAAGCCAGGATATGACAAAGGCAAAGACCATACAGGCTAGAAGGAAATTCAAGAAACGGTGACCCTGCCAGAAATTTCGAATTTCTGCCGGTGGTGCCGGTCCAGATGGTGGTACCGTGGAACCATCATTTGCCTCATTCCACTGTTCTGTCATTTGAATTTCAATAGCACCAGCTACGTTGCGTGCAATTGATCCACAGATTTCACAAGTTCTGTTAAGCATACAAATCAAATAATTAGCAAGGTTAACAAGCCTATTCAAGTAATGCCTCAGTGCAGTAAATCCCACCAAAAACAAAGCAAATATATATATATATATATATATATTTATATATATATATATATATACCATGAATATATATATATATATGGAAAATTACTGATCTTGAGCCACATTTTAGCAAAAAACAGGGAAAGCCATACAAAGCAGTTTCTGAGATGCTTTGCAATCCCAGTTCACTAAAACAAATCTATGTTTAGAATATATAATCTCATAAATAACAGCAAATGATAATTGATTTGCCCAGCCGTTGTCACTTCTTAATGTTCTGTGTTTGGGCAGGGAACAGTACACAAGGGAAAAAGGATAAGGAAAACAATCAAGATAAGGACACGAATGAGAGTTTATCCATTGAAAGCTAAATTAGATTATCTTCAATATCCTGGAAAATATGGATCAACAATCACACACGGAATTGTAACAATGCCCAACAATGATTTATTGTGCCAGAAGCCAGAGTTCCTGATTTGATTTCATAACTAGAGAATTTCCAAACATAAAGATAAAGGTAAAACGGTATAATTGATCCAACACAAACTACATGTCTGATAAGAAAAGATAATTCCGAGCATAATATTCTTAACTAAGAAAATCAGCCAAGGGAAAATTGAAGCCAGAAAGTATGAAGCTCAACTTAACATTTAAGTCATACAAGTTTACAACACCAGTGATTCATACAAGTTTATAACAGTAAAAAGGAGAACAATCTAGATGCAACAAATTTTCATGTTTCTTCATACGGTTTAACCATTACATTTATGCTTATTTTGCTTATCTCCAGGTTTTCTGAAATTTAATGCAGATATAAAAACAAACACATGCTTTAAAAGTTAAGTGGAATTGTACAAAGTAGAAACTTAGTTATGCTTATACAATCCCAAAGTTCAAAAACGACATCAAAACTCAGCCTTGCAAAATTACTTCTAAGTTTTAACATGGTCCAGATTGTACATGACAGTTGGCCAGCCTAAGAAATACAGCCAATGATCAACGGATATGAGACACAGGCTTTGCTGTAAGTCTTCCTGAAAATCCACATGCCCTCGGAATGTATGAATATTTTTAACGCATTACTGTTTTAAAAACATTTAAGTTAACCCAATTGAAATTCAAATCTTGCAACTAATTTCTGCTTTAAAAGATTACAAATAAGACGAAAGATCAAGTAGAAACTTTGTGCGTATATGATATGGTCAACTAAAACCTAGTAAAAAACCATGAAAAAAGGAAATTAAAGAAGATTTTATCTGAATCAGAATTTGAACAGGCTAAACAAGCATCATTTTTCATTTGAAGGTGAAAAAGGAACCAAGAATAGGAAAATATGATGTTGCTACCGTTTTTTGTTCTAAGATAGGGGGGCTTATTTTGCAGGCTTCAGTTCAGATAAAAAACACAGAGCAAAATGAATAACTAGAAATTAAATTTGGCAAATGAAGAATGAACAAGAAAAAAGAAAATATCATATAACCAAGTTTCATACTTGCAGCAGTGTAATTTATTTAGTGCTGAGCGGTAGTGAAAAGAAGGATCAAATTAGATCTGTAATGAGTACAGATTGACTATGTAGTGCAATTTTTTCAGAATGCATTCCACCATAAAATCACCTGTGATAAATAGATGTACGAAACACTAAACTGTTTTTGCATATCTACCCACTAAGATACCAATCTTCAGTGTTTCTACTTTCTCTTATTTTTGTTAAACCAAGGTTAATGTAAAGTGATTTCATTCAAAAATTTCCTTTTTCCACTTGTTGAACCTAGAAGACCCATAGATGATAATAAAACTGTGTTTAATTTCTCAAAGTATTTTTCTCTTGGCACACCCCAACAGTTTGATAATCATTTAGTTAAGTTTTGAATTTGGAAATTATTAGAGCTGGTCGGCAATAGGTGAAACTATTGCTTCATGAAATACAGGTATCACAAAAGTCCTATGTGAATGATTCACCTATTCATGATTTCTTTTAAGGAAAGAAAAAAAAGGAATTAATGAATAACGGTGTCCTGATCAATAATAAATAAGGGGATAATTATATTAAACACCCTTGAAGTTAACGTTAATTGCACCGACAGCTTTCTTCATTTGAAAACTACACCCACCTCCCTATGTGGACTGTCCTTACACTTTGACTTACAAAATAATCTTCATAACCCTCCAACTTTTATTTATGGACCATTCATGCAGTCTTATTAAAAATAACAAAGCAAATAAGGTAAGAGTTGTTTTCAAATAATAAAGGTTTCAACAATTCAATGTGATTAACACTAACCTCAAGAAGATCTGTGTAATTATCCCAAAAATAAATGAGAGATCCTGACAGCAACAACTATATCAGTTGACTTAGGACATGTGCAAGTGAAGTTTTGGAGGAAAAGAAAAGGGTGGGCAAAGTTGATATTTTTTAATTAAGAGAGTTAATATTGTTTATACAAATAAACAAAAGATTAGGATATCATTTTATTTCTTTATATTAAAAATTACCAAAATTATAAAATATTTATTAGAAATGAAAATTGTTTTCCCTTCCCTTTTCCACCAAATCCCAAAGATACCATCTGTTCACCAGCAACAGGATAGAGAGGTAGAGGAGCAAATCAAACAAATATTGGAAAAGCTGATACATATGCTTGAACAGTCAGACCTGCAAATAGGGATATTTTCAGCCCCCCTCCAACATTTTTCCTTCAAGCATTTAATCTTTACCTAAACCATTTTTGGAATAATGTAGCTAAATTTAGCTCACAGAATGTCCTTCTGTTTGCAAAAGAAGAATCAGATTCACACTCCATTCTTTCCTCAAAAATAGAAAAGACACTTCATCAAGCGTGATCCTTTAACCCGCATTATTAACCCAAAGCCTCTCGCATCATAAACATGCGCTAAATTGCTCAGGGCAAGAAAACAGCAAATAGGCAACTCGAACTGTCAAATAGCACCAGATTTGGAAAAAAGAGATTAAAGCAAGGCCACCAGAGTACCAAATGCATAACTTCACTCCAAAAGAAAAACACACAATTTAAAAATGGCGAGTAGTAACTAGTAAGTAGTACTCTTCAATCTTACAAATTGACAATACTTTTCCAAAGACATGAAAGTGTACTTACTTGTTGCCCTTGATCTTGAACCAAGCCTCAGCACACTGCTTGTGAGCTGCAGCCAAATCATCCTTACAAGAACATCCTAGCTCAATGGGAGTTCCAGATTCATGATTGGTCATATCCATGCTGAGATGGCAAATCCTACAATCCCTCTCCACATTAGCCAAATGCACCTTAACCTCAGGAGCTGCACCCTCCTCCAGATCCACCTCCACTGAACACTCTGATGCAGAGGATCCTCTCTTCTTCTCACACACTCCCACAATCTCAGTGCCAGAGCCATGGGAGGACCTTTGCTCTTCATCTGACCGGTCTCCGGCGTCGGAGCACCCCTCGCCGACGGCCGAGCTCCGGTGACAGCAAACATTGTCTATGTCAACAACAACATGAGATTGAGACTTGTCCTCAGTAGTGACCAACATTTTGAACACCCAAGTAGAGAATCTTCATGTAATGACTGAGCAAGACAAAGAACATTAATACCCACCAAGTTTTTAAGAAGAAAGTTTCAGTCTTTCTGAACCCCAGCACGAGTTGTGTGAATTGTGCGCAAGGTATGCGATCTCTCTCTTCTGAGTCCCTGACAAAGGACCTGAGCGAGAGAGAGAGAGAGAGAAATGGATCAAAAAAGATGATATAAGGGAAACAGCATTATGAATAATGCAGTGATCTGATGGGAGAAATCTATCCACAAAAAAAAACCTTTTTCTTTTTTGTTTGTTTCTATGTTAAAAAAAAAGGGTCTTGGAAATCTAACAGTGTCTCGATGACTCAAAGCATAGTGTTTTAATATGTGTCTTATTTTCTCCATGTCGATGTCGTTACCATAATTACAAGCAAAAGAAACCTTAACACGGGAAAGATTGTTGAACACGGGGAGGGTGAACGGTGAAGTGACATGGTGTAATGAGTTATGAGATAAGTGGGACCCACGTTTCTCTTTCTCTTGTTGAGTTTGGCGAGAAAATACGGTGGTTTTTTCTACTGTAACAGTAACAGTAACAGAGCAGAGAATGCAAGAAAGAAGGAAAAGGGCGAAAGAATTTGAAGAGTGATTGATAGACAGAGCCATAGAGGTCACCTAAAAAGCTCTTTCTTTTGCCGCTGCCACCAACAGATCAAACTGTGAAAAGCACAAAATTCCTTGTCCTCTTCCACATTCACCGCTTTCACTTTCCCTTTTTTATTTATATACATTTTCTTGTCTTTTTATGTATTTTCCATTTTTAGTAATATATTTCTTGTTTTACTATTTACAAAATTCGTCACCAATTTTTTAAGGTATACGTATTTTATTATCACATTTTTTTTATTTTATTACTTTATTAGTTAACTACAATATTACTAATTGATTATTAATATTATACGTTAATTATTAATGCAATATATTATGTCATATCATCGAATAAATCATCAATTTAATTTTTAAAATATCATCTTTTTTTTTATAAATAATTTTCAAATTAATGAAATTATATAATGAATTTTTAAAATATTAAGTATTTATTAATTTAGTCTCTTAATTAATGTATTTTATTAATATTGAGGATTAATTTATTTTTTCAAATAATTAATTAACTAAATAACATGATTCTAATAACAACTATTCAAAAAAGAGTAATGTTTTAAAAATTAAATTAAATTTATCATATATATCATATCAATATAATATGTCAAGTGTTAAATCAATAATCAATTATTATTAATGTAATAAAGGATATAAAGTTTTAAAAGTTAAATGATAAAATATATAACTTTAAAATTTGAATAAAAAAACTTGAATCATAAATGATGAAAGAAAAATGATTCATCTTTCAAAAATTTTGTCTGAAATATATTCCAATACGGTATATCAGATAATAATTTAAATATAATTTTTTTTAATGTGTATTCGGAGGATGTTTTGTTGTATTTTTCGAAAGACGTAGAATCACTCATGATGAAAAGTACAGTTTTCGTATTCAAGATTCTTGACAGAATTAGTCGCTAATGAACTGTGAGTATATTTTTTTATACTAATAATAAATAATTATTAAAATAGTAATATTATATAATTTTGTATGTATAAAGATGATTTAATATTGGAATAAAAAATGATAATGAAAATAGTGAAATGAAATTCTTTCAAAAATAATCATTTATTTAAAATATGACTCTTGAAAATTTACTAGGTAAATGGCGTGTGTGTGTGACAAATATGTATAAACTATTTATTTAAATATTCATTATTTTTTTTTTTTCCTCTTCGTTAGGTTGAAGGCACTTTAAAGGGTGAGATAACTAAATTTAACGCGGCTGCATACACAAGATAGGATTCGAACTCCTAACCTTACTTAAGCGTAGATAAACCCTTACTACTAAATTACACGTTTTTAGGGTTTAAATATTTAGTGTTAACTATAACCTTGAACAAATTCGTTTATAAACAAACAGTTTAAATAAATATTGCATGGACTAAGCTCAAATAATTCAATTTATTTACAGTTATTTTTTACATAGTTTTATTTACACTCCTAAATTCCTTATCTTTACTATTAATCATTTACTATCATATCACTTTTTTTTTTAAGGTAGATGTTATATAAAATACGATTTTTTTTCTCGTACTGATATGAGTTTATTTTTAATACTGTTAATTTAATTTAATTTTTTTAAGAATAACATGCAACTTTTCTATACTGTATTAATATCTTATAAAATTCAGTGTTAATTTACATGTTTTTAGTGCCGTTTTTTTTTTCTTAACAGAAAAATCAAAACAAAACTAGCTAAGGAAAACTTTAAATCATTTTTGATTTTTGAACAATATACCTGCTCGAGGATAATAAAAAACTTAATCTCCTTGCGATCAGGGACGGAGCCAGGATTTCAATACTGGGGGTGCCATATAGGGGGTGCCATATAGTAATATACATATGAGTTTATATTAAAAATAAGGGTGCCATATAGTAATATATATGTATATAAAAAAAAATTAAAATTGTTGGGGGGGCCGTGGCACCCGTAGGTCCCCCCTTGGCTCCGTCCTTGCTTGCGATCAAGATGACCCAAATTTGGTAAAAAAAAGAAGAAATAGGTGAAAGTTTGAGTGGAGAGAAATAGATGAAAAAAAAATAAATAAAAAATTGAATAGAAATTTGATTGTTTAGTTAAAAAAAATATATGAGAAAAATAATATTATGTATGTATGTATAGTAAGAAATAGAAAAAAAAAATAGATAAAAAATAAAGTATATAAAAAACATAAGAGAAATAAACAAATAATAAAGCAAAAAATATATTCTTAAATTTAATTTTTATAAATTATTTAAATAAAAAATTATATAACTAAATAAATAATATTTTGAAATAAAAGAAATAATTAATTAAAATTAGACAATTTTAAAGTAATATTTTTAGATTAAAAATTGATTAAAATAATACGTCTAGTTAAGTAAATAAAATTCTAAACTTTCAATTGAGTAAACTAAATTCTATTTAAATGAAAGTCTAGATATTCGAATAAAAGCTTGTTTTTCAAAGAAAATATATTCAAATAAATAAAAACTTTTTCGCGTGAGTAACCATTTTGGTAACGTGTTATTCAAATGTGAAATAAAAAGATATGGGATCACATTTTTTTTTTCTGATAAATTTCTTCGATGTCAAGCAATTACAAATTATTTTTGTTCGTTATTTTGTCTCTCTACTTTATTTCTTGGCTATTTCGGGCATAGCAATCGAAGGGTAATTGTATTTACTAGATCAAATTGGTATATAATATATATATATATATATATATATATATTATTTTATTTTTTTCTTTCTTTTTTTTCAGATTTAAGTTACCAGGAAGTAGTTGAAGGAAACTCTGCAAGTCGATAAAAGCCGAAAAGAGCTATTCACTCAATAAAGTTGATGCTCTATATACGGTGCGATTGACTCTAGTGAAACAGACTTATACCATCTATGATCGATCTATCCACCCACCACAAAATGCTACAGATGAAGATTGAAATCTACTTGCTTTTTCAAAACTTACAACAACAACAACAAAAAATCCCACGAGGAAGCTTAGTTAGAGTCAAACTTCCGCAGGCATTGCTAAATGTTGCCTAGCCATCTTTGTTGATAACACTTCTTGCATCGCACCCAAAAAATTGCTTGGTCCCTCCTCAAATTGCCCGTAGCCATTCCTAAGATCTTGTCGTAAGAAGTTTGTTTGCGAAGCAGTGGCAACCCCTTGAGATGCTGTCAAGTTTGCAGTATTATCAGTTACTCCAGCACTACAATTATCAAGGCCACTCTTGATCCAAGCTATATTGTTTAAGTCGGTGGCTATTGAAATCAATGCATGACTAGAGAAAGAAGGTGACTCCAAATAGTCAACAAACTCGGGACCTAGAAGTGAACCATGTGAATGGCTTTCCCTTGAGTCTGCTGCGCAGCAGCCATGACCACATTGCAATGGAACCATGGGCTCACAATCAATACCATCAAATAACTTGCAGGATCCTACGTCTGGTTTGGGGGATACTATCAAAGGGCTCTGCCTTGGGAATATCTTTGAACATGATCCAGTTGTTGGCCTGCCTGGAGGATTATAAACACTAAATGCACTAATACGTGCTACTGGTCTATAAAGGGTAGGATGTTCCTCAACTTTAGCATCATTTTCTCTTGGAGTTTTATTTTCATTATCCATCAAGACATTTCTGATTTCTGCAGGATTCAATGAATTGATATCCCCAATTGACATGGTTTCTTCAGAGGATGCTTTTGCTTTTTCATAGCTACCATCTTCAATCACATCAGGATGTGCTGGGACATATCTTCCCAGTTCCATACACCTGCGCTTCAGCGTAGAATTCCAGTGATTCTTGATCGCATTGTCTGTTCTACCTGGAAGAAGCCTAGCAATTGCTGCCCATTTGTTTCCGTGGATTGCATGGGCTGAAACTATGATGTTGTCCTCTTCCTCTGCAGCAATTAAATTTTCATTAGATTTTGATAATTGACAGACACGATATTTGTAATGGCTGACTAATTTTTCAATTAAATGATGACAAATTTACTTCAATAGAATAAATAGCACACAACAAAAAAAATCACTTGTGGAAAGGAAAATATAAGTATTCGACAGGGTATGAAAGGAACTTTCCAGTGTATGCAGGCAGCAACTTTCAAGATTATCTTTCAATCAATTCAAGCATGTCACACATCAACACAACAACATGGAGGGCCTCAAGCTTAAATATTAGTAATTTCATTTTTTTTTGTTTTTGAAATTCATGGGTGTTCTAAACCAAGCATTCATTTTCAGAGACAACAAAATATTGTTTCATCATGTGGACCTTTGCTTCACTCCTTCCTTCCTAGTTTCCTTTCCAGCTCTTTTCTCATTTATTTATTGGCAAGACCACAAGGTGTCATTGCACATTTGGTATGGAACCTATCCCTGTTCAAACGTCAGGTTGACAAGGGCCACAGGTCATTGTAGTAGATTTTCAACCTATCCCTTCTCTCTCCTTTATTTTCTCTCCCAAAGTCCACCCCAACACCACCAAAATCGAGCGTGAAGAGCATTCAATGAATTTCACCCCAAGACCTTTAGTTTTTGCACAATTCCACAATTTAATGCTGATTAGTTATAGATTTCTTCACAATTGCACAATGTTCAGAGACTAGTAATCCTTCACAGACCTCTTTTCAGATGTTTTCGGACCATAAATCAAAGGGAAATATTGTGCAACATGTTGATATCAAGGTTGTGATTTACTGCAGTTCCATAGAAGATGATAGGAAAATGGTTTTTGACTAATCTTTTGCACCGTAATCGTGGACTTGAGTTTTTATGTCACATAATTGTGTTTCAACCGTAAATTAATAATATAGCAGAAAGTTTAGAAATATGACTTCAGGGGGAAATTGAAGGCTGAATTAATGCTTGGTCCTGATAACCTTTAAGCATTTCTTTTAATTTGATTTTATTCTTCATTCTCTAATTAGTAGTTCACAGATCGGAAATTAGGAATATATGACAAATTGAAGGAGACGCTCTGTCAAAGATAATATCTCAAAAAGTTACTTCTATTATCTTTTTCAGAAATAAACAACAAACTATAAGAACAGCGGAAAAAAAGAGGAAGCTCCATTGAGTTCTTTGTCAATGGGTCTTACTAAGAAGTGATGCAAGACAGAAACTTCAAGAAGTTAGGAGTCCAGGGTTCATTGGTGTTCTGACCTCAGGTGACAGACAGGATTGCAAACTTTTGATGGAAAAGTGTGGATATAATTTATAACCATTGATTGGAAAATCAACAATTGAAATTGTGATAAAAATACACGCATATGCATAATAAACTACAAGGTTATTAAAATCTACTCTCTTGATTTTAAGATCAGTGGTTATAACTCTATACTGCCCCTCTTTGGTGCATCCCACAGTTTATAGGAGTTGAATCCTTAAAATAATATCAATGGTTAAAATAGGTCATATAACTTATAGCCTAATAACCATTAACCAGGTTAACAAGTTACATATGCAGTATAACAGCAGGTGACATCTCAACAGTGAACAAGAAAACATTAATCTTGTGATGCTATTCATGACCAAAATCAATTAAATATAAAGATGGTAAAGAGTCACATTAACTGGATATTTAGCAAGAAAATGAACTAAATAACAACATTCAACTTCAACTTCAACAATCCTTTAGAAAACTATCAGCCTCACCAAAGCAAAAATAGTAACTAAAACAATCCAATATATAAACTGTAGCCACTGACCATGGTTTACCAAAAATCTAGTCATTAGTCAAAAACTGGAAATTTGCAAGGTAGCACCAGGCAAAAGGTATCTTCATTTTACAGATGAATTGTAGCCAATAACCATAGTTGACCAACATGTATGTAAAAGGTTACACATAGTGTACCGAGTAGAGCAGCTATTAGAATTGGTAACTAAAATGGTCACTTTACAGATTGATAAAGGATAATAGTAAGGAGCTGGACTAGGTCTCACATCATGAGATGATAATAGATGTACAAAATGATTAAAGAAATGCCAATAGGTGATACTGACACCAGTCAATCAGTTTCTAGAACTAATTTAATTTGTTCTCACTGCATAAGCTGGTTGAAATATGATTGCATATAACGAGCATGCCAAAACAATGAGAAACACAGAAGATCAACCTCAACACAAGAAACAACACAGCATTTTCAACTGCCACTATAAAAGGCTCTTCTGAGCATTTTTGAAACTTTAATATATCTAAACATTAAATGAAAAACATTTTACAAATACACATCGGCTAAAAAGAATCCCAAACATAGTACATATATACTTAGTAAGGAAAAACCAAAAATCCAAATTTGTTCCACTCAAAATATATAGCATACTTGCATTAATATACATATATTCCTCGGTTGTAAACAGGGCCACTTTAAAGGGTTACAGAAATAGATTTTTAAAATGCGGTAAGCGACCATAATTTTTGACAGCAATGTCAAGGCTTTTGAAGTGTGAGTGACCACAACATAATCACAAGTGTTGCTACATCATCCATATTTGTCTACAGTTTCCTGTAACATCAAGAAAAACAGCTGACCACAACCACAACTTAAAACCTTGTTACTATATTTAAAACATACCACGGTGTTTTAATTTAACAAAGAGTTTAAATAATATATTACTATAAGCTGATTCAACTGGTCAATCCCCTTAAAAGTTAATCTATGATTTTCAACGTTTCTCCAACATTTTTGTGGATATCATAAGCTACTGCCTATTAGCATCATTCTCAATCCAAAATAAACAAACAAATAACTAAAACAAAAGCCATACACATAAAGAGCATTATAGTTACGCATCATTATATCTTTAAATTAAAAATATAAAAAAAATATAGACTCTCTCAAAAAGTCCTAGCATCGTACCCTAATTCTAGAAACATCGACAGTATGAGTAGTGGGGAAACGAAGATTAATTACCAGTGAAGGGCTTGCGTTTCACGCAAGGGTCCAGCTGATTACACCACCGGAGCCGGCACGACTTGCCGGAGCGTCCCGGCACTCCCCGCGCAATCATGCTCCAGTTCCTGGCCCCGAACTGCGCCACCAATCGGCTGAGCACCTCGTCCTCCTCCGGCGACCACGGTCCCTTCACTCTCCCGGCCACGGAGCCGTCGCCTACGACCGCGACCTCAGCATCGCCTCCGATGAGTTGGAAGTCCTCTCCGGCGTCGACGCCATTGCGGAGGGTTGGTTCGGCGGAGCGGTCTTTTTCGGTCATGGCGGTTGTTGGTTTGGTTGTTTCGCTATCTGTTACTGTCAGTTTATTTTTTTTATTGTTTTATTTTTCTTCACTCTCTCTAACTAACTGCAATTCCGATTGGGGGCACGCGCATAATGTCTCGCCTTCTTCTTTGTCCATTTTATAACCCGCTTTTCTTCAAATGACGGATTTGTCCCCGTGCTGTCAACCAAACGACGCAGTTACGAAAGCCTGTGTTGTGCTGTGCCGTTTTCCAAACGTTTATTCCTTTGGTTGACTATCAACGTTCTTTGTTGACTTGTCACACGTCGGATTGCGGGTTTCGGATTTAAATTTTTTAAAAATTAATGCTATTTTCCAGATTACGACTTTACCCTTCCAATCCAATTAAACACTTTGGGTTCAAGATAAATAAAAGACTAAATTTCACTACAGTTATTTTAAATATTGTTTTTTTATTCAATTTATTTTTATTTATAAATTAAATTTTATTATTTTAAAATAAATTATCAATAATAATTTTCTCTAAATCTTCTTTATATATAAATTAGAATAATTATCTTAAATAAAAATGTTTTTAGAGAGTATTGTTTTTAGTTTTTTTCTTTAAAAATTGTGCTTTTAGGTTATTAGCTTCTTATCTCTTTTAATTTATCATTCACATTTTTATTTTTAAATTAAATTTTCATATTTTTAACAGAAATTATCCATAGTTAAAATGATTTTTATATCATAATATAAAATATTTATTATATGGTAATAAAATATTTATTTTTTTTACAAATTTTAAATATAATATAATTTTTTATAAGTAAAAATATTTATTTATTATAATTTTCTGTTATAAAAAAAAATACATCAAAAGCTACTACATCAGGTAGCTAACACAACAAAATATCAACAGTTTCAGCCCCAACTGCCATCTGCAGTCCTGCCACTAGCCACCAACCTATCCCTGCTCTGCTCCCATACATAGTATGATCATTGCAGTCCAAACACCATGGAAACAACAAAGGGTAAGCTAGTGAAAAGAAATCAACATACATATATAGCAATATGAATGGTAAACAGCTATAACTATCAACACAACAACTAGCTTACACTACACCACAACATTCAGCAATATCAGCACCGCAAAGCGGCAATATCAGCACTGCATAGCAGCAATAACAGCATCACTCTAGTGGTTATAACAGCACCGCATAGCGCCAATAACAGTACCGCCTTAGCGACTATAACAATTATCAATAAATAAAAATAATTTTATATTATAATATAGATTATTTATTATAATATTAAAATATAAATTATATACTTAAAATATTTATTTATTCAAATATTAAATATAATTTATATATTTAAATATATAATATTTATCTGTATATGTAATTTATTATAAAATTTAATTATATATAATAAAAAATTAATTTGTGAATATCATAAATACTAGTTAAAACTAAAGTCTTATCTTGATAATTCATATAATGATATGTCGCCTTATGTGTTAGAAGTAATGAGATAGTTTTTACGTAAATAGGGTATTTCAACATGAAGAGAGAGGGAACTTGGGTTAAAAAATAGGTTACAAATGTAACAATCCAGCTGGTCACTACACACTGCACAGCACACTAGAAACACCACACAGAAAGGAATAAGTGTATACATATAGAGTCTAGAATATATACATATACAAGGTCCAAATCTGGATAGAGTTAAACTGTATAAAATACATCAAAAGCTACTACATCAGGTAGCTAACACAACAAAATATCAACAGTTTCAGCCCCAACTGCCATCTGCAGTCCTGCCACTAGCCACCAACCTATCCCTGCTCTGCTCCATACATAGTATGATCATTGCAATAATTTTATATTATAATATAGATTATTTATTATAATATTAAAATATAAATTATATACTTAAAATATTTATTTATTCAAATATTAAATATAATTTATATATTTAAATATATAATATTTATCTGTATATGTAATTTATTATAAAATTTAATTATATATAATAAAAAATTAATTTGTGAATATCATAAATACTAGTTAAAACTAAAGTCTTATCTTGATAATTCATATAATGATATGTCGCCTTATGTGTTAGAAGTAATGAGATAGTTTTTACGTAAATAGGGTATTTCAACATGAAGAGAGAGGGAACTTGGGTTAAAAAATAGGTTACAAATGTAACAATCCAGCTGGTCACTACACACTGCACAGCACACTAGAAACACCACACAGAAAGGAATAAGTGTATACATATAGAGTCTAGAATATATACATATACAAGGTCCAAATCTGGATAGAGTTAAACTGTATAAAATACATCAAAAGCTACTACATCAGGTAGCTAACACAACAAAATATCAACAGTTTCAGCCCCAACTGCCATCTGCAGTCCTGCCACTAGCCACCAACCTATCCCTGCTCTGCTCCCATACATAGTATGATCATTGCAGTCCAAACACCATGGAAACAACAAAGGGTAAGCTAGTGAAAAGAAATCAACATACATATATAGCAATATGAATGGTAAACAGCTATAACTATCAACACAACAACTAGCTTACACTACACCACAACATTCAGCAATATCAGCACCGCAAAGCGGCAATATCAGCACTGCATAGCAGCAATAACAGCATCACTCTAGTGGTTATAACAGCACCGCATAGCGCCAATAACAGTACCGCCTTAGCGACTATAACAACACCATAATAGTGGCTAATAACAGCACCGACATAGCGGCTAGAACAGCACCACAATAGTGGCCATACACAGCATACAACTCAGCAATATACAGCACAACCAAACAGCTCACAGCACAGCACAGCAAATCAGCATACAGCACGACTAAGTAGTATTCAACGCAACTTACTACTCACAACTCAGCTCAGCATTCTATAATATAGCAATATTATAATTCAGCATTTAAAATCATCAATACCAGCTCAGCTCAGCATGGCAAAAATACATCTATTACAGCTTAGTTCAGCATAAAGCAACATCTCTCAGCAATTTTAGCAAAGTTTAACAGCTATCAGCATACTAAGTCAACATCATCATACGCGCCCGACGCACTCAGGGTTACGCCCAACGCGGCTCAACCAGAGAGCACCAGGGCCAGCGCGCCCGGCACAAGAGTGCTCGTGTCCGGCGCAAGAGTGCTCGCGCCCGGCGTGACCCAACCAGAGAGCCCAAGGCTCTCACGCGCCTAGCGCAATTCAGCTTTGCGCCCAGCGCACTCCCAGGCAGAGTCTCCAAGGAGGCTCACGCGCCCGGCGTGGCCTAACCCGCGCCCAGCGTGGGGCAGGCAGAGACCTACCAAGGTCTCGCGCCCGACGCAATTCGTATTGCGCCCAGCGCCCTCTTGGCAGAGACTCCCAAGGAGCCTCCGCGCCCAGTGCGACAATGGTGGCGCCCAGCACAGCACCAGAAAACCCAAAACATGGCACAACTGATATCGCGCCCAGCGCGGTCCAGGTCACGCCCAGCGTGGGCCATCCAGAGGCTCCCATTCTCAAGTTCGCCCGGCGCACTCACCTTTGCGCCCGGCGGGCTTGCCTAAATGGAGTCCTCTGGTGGTCACGCGCCCGGCGCGAAGAACAATGCCTAGCGCGAAGCTCAGCAACAACTTCCCCAAGTTCAAAAATTGCCCAAAACCTGCAAAAATCAACAGAAAATCCACATGCAAACGGTTCAAAGTACCACCTTTTCAACCAACAGCTCAAAAATACCATCTTTTTGCACATGTAACAACAAATCAAGAATTTCCAAAAAATTTCTCAAAGAGCCCGAAAACCCCAAAACTTCATTTTCAGCTATCTCAACCAAGAATCATCAATCATCAACCAGCAATTGAGTTTCTAGAACTCGTTCACAACCAAAATCCGCAAGAACTAGCTTCCCTTATCTCGGTTCAAGAATCCGAGCTCCGGGACGAAGAAGACGAAGAAGAAGAAGATGGAAACAAGCTTGAATGGAGATCAACGGGGATGGAGAACTTCAGCTAGCCTCCCACTACGAATCAGCACCTTCAACCAAGGTCACCATAAGAATCAGCAAGTTGAAAGGAATGGGGAAGGAGTAGAGAGAAGAGAGAGTAAGAGTAGAGAGTGAGAATCCGGGAAAAAGAAAGGGAAAAGAGAAGGGACCTCACAACAAATATACCCTAATTCTTTAATGAAAATTTGTACTAAATTTCCTTTTTAACATGATATGTTTGAAAAAACTAATTTAAAGTCAATTGAAATTTTTTAAGTTATATACTAAAAATTTAAAATTTAAAATCTAACTGATTATATAAAAAAAATTTAATATAATTAATAAATATAAAATGACACAAAAAGTACAGTTGTTTATTTATTTTATAAAATAATTTAAAATTTTTTATTATACTCTTTCATTTTTATATAATAATAACAATAAGAAGGTTGACTTAATCATAAGAGTTGGAGTAATATATGGATATTGTGCATTCAAAATCTATTGTCATTGTAATTTTTTCAATAAGAAAGTTGACTTAATCATAAGAGTTGGAGTAATATATGGATATTGTGCATTCAAAATCTATTGTCATTGTAATTTTTGTGGATAAAAAATCATTGTTTGATAATAAATGTATAAATGAATTAAAAGTTAGTTAAAATGTATAAATATAATTGAAAAAATAATTAATGTAATCTTAAATTTTAAAAATGATAAATAAATAAATAAATAAAAATTTCTAAAAACTGAGAAATGAAAAAATAGATAAAATATTAGGTAGACCACTAAAATTTTCAGTTTTGTTTATACTACCTCAATAATTATAGAGTTAATCACTTATATATTATTAGTATAAAAAAATTTTACACTAACAACTAATTATATTTCTTAATTGTTCCATGTTAAACACATTTATTTATAACAGTAATATAACAAAATTAAGAGATATAATTAATTATCAGTGTAAAAAAAAATTGATTAACTCATAATTATATATATGTATATTATAAATAAATCCTACTTCTGGACCCTCCTCTGAGCCCATTTAGAATGGTAGGTAATGATCCCAAACTTGAAAAGCGAAATAGTAAAAGATTAAATTCTTTGTGTCAGCAGATTTAATTAAGTTA